CACTTGTACCAAGTTAAGGTAAGTGCAACTTGTATCACTACAACTCTTGTTAAAACTCAAGATACACATAAGACCAACAAGTAGATGCTATCTTTAATATCGAGATTTATGTCGCGCATTAAGATAATTCTGCAGAAAACACCAGCATCGCATCTACAGAAGAAAGGTCACCTTCTGACATTTTTATTTTGCAAAAATCGCTCAAAATATTCGAAATCGAATTCCTTTTTGAAAAAGTCTTTTTTAAAAGCTTGAAAAATCGTTTTTGATCAAATGTCCACGAAATTTAGTTTCGACGACGATCCTAACCTTTCAATTGACCTATGTTGGGATATATTAGGCGAGTAACTTCTTTTTTAACAACTTTGAGGTCGAATTTTTCCATTTTTCGGTCCTTCAAAACCCTGCTATGAAGTTGACAAATACATGTACATGTACATGGTTCTTCACCAAAGGCAAAATCAGATTTTTAAGCCTTTATTCATTTAAGGTCATAACTTGACAAACAATTCTTCGTTACTTCTTACCTTGATTCAGATGCAAGGGTTTCATCAATATATTAATGAACTAGTGTGTAGCACCATAAATATTAATGATACAAAATGGTCAAAAATTGAAACTTGATTAATATCACCAATCGGTGGCCAAATATTTCATAGACCTTATTTGCTTAAATCATTAAATGATTTGAGATTTACGTTATTCTCACTGAGCTTTTATTGCACTTCATTTCAATTAGTCGAAATTTGTTGATTTATATTTTATTAAATTCAGTAGTGGTTTTTGCCCATAGGTTAAGTTCATCAACTGACAACAGATGGCAATTGAGGTCCAATTGAACATTTTTTTCTGATTTCAACCTTTTCTGGATAATTTTCATTTCCAAGTTTGAGTAATAATACCATAAATTAATGCTAAAGGGTGTAACAAAATTACGAATTCTCGACTCTTATTATGTTTACCGTTCAATGAAAATGTGACAGATTAATGACGGAAAACAGAGTGGAAAACTTTGCTTTATGAATCATAATCATTCATTGTCAACATTTCACTCGGAATCGAACACAACACAAAAAAGAAAAGAATAGTTTTTTTTGCTCGCTCTCTTCTCATTCTTTTCCTTTTCATGTTCAATTTTTCAGCTCATTCAACCAACGGTCAATCATTATTCAATATTAAATGGTTTTTGCTTCATCATTATCATTATCATCCGCTTGTTCATCATTCAACGTTGAAACCTTCAAAGTAAAAAGGGCA